GAAGCTCCTCCAGGGAAGGGAACGGAGCCGGGGAAGGGTCTGGAGCCCCAGGAGAGGCTGAGGGAGCTGGGAAGGGGCTGAGCCTGGAGAAAAGGAGCTCAGGGGGATCTTGTGGCTCTGCACAGCTCCTGACAGGAGGGGACAGCCTCCTGGGGGATCAGGCTCTGCTCCCAGGGAACAAGTGATAGCACAGCGCCTTAAGCTGCGCCAGGAGAGAGGTTTAGGTTTAGGTTGGAGAGGTTTAGGTTGAACATTAAGAACTTCTTCCCAGAAAGAGTATTTAGATACTGCAATGTCCATCCCACAGAGGTGGCGGCATCACGGTGCTTAAGGACAGGTCTGACGCGGCACTGAGGGCTCCGGCTTGGACGACAAGGCGGTGTTGGGTGGCAGCCTGGCCCCGATGCTCGCAGCAGCGTTTCCCACCCAGCCAAGCCGTGACTCCGCGCCCCGCCTGCCGCCGCCGCGCCCCTCAGGGACGGGCGGGCCCGCGCTGCGGACGGATCCCGCGCGGCGCACGGCGGCCGCGACGCCGCCGCACCTGATTGGCTGCGGCGCGCCTGGCCCCACATCAGCCCAGAGCCCGCTCTCCTCGCGGCTGGCCCGACGGGGGAAGAGCCGACGCCAGCAGGGACCAATCAGCGCAGAGGTTTCTCAAGCCCCTCTCGCTGGCGGCCAATGAGCGGCCGGATCGGGGGGAGGTGTGCCCAATCAGCGGAGCGCTCTCATGCCGCTCGGCGGGAGGGGCGGGGGTCCCTCAGCGCTGAGGCGATGCCGAAACGTTCCCGTTTTAGGATAAAAAAAGCGCAGTCACCGAATCGATTCGGCTGGCACAGACCCCTCAGGTCATCGATTCCAAGCTGTGACTCAACACCACCCTGTCAACCGGACCATGGCGGGCATGCGACCTCTCCTGAGCCAGCCCCAGGGCCGGTCATTCCCCCGCCTTCCTTCCCGAGCCCACTGCAATATCTCAAACACCATTTCTGCCGAGGGTTTCCTCCTAAAAGCAGCAGCTAAACTCCCGCTTTCACCCACCCAAAGCAACCTGCGCTCCTAAAAAGAAAATCAGCAGCTAAATCACCTGAGAAGGGACCCAAAAATCCTCTTGCTGAGCTGAAAAAAGGTGTAATTTAGAAAGGATTGACCCAGTTAAGCTCAGGGAGGAAGGGGAATGATGGATTTGCTGATAAAAGTGGGCTTTTGGGAAAGCCTGACAGCACTTTCTCACTTATTAGCAGCAGTTTTACTATTGTATCCTTACTTAAGAGGATAGTATCCTTACTATTTTCTATTGTATCCTTACTTATGCATCCCTGTTCCCTGCTTCATTCCAGTTTTCCCATATCCAAACCAGTTTTTCCCTCTTTCAAAAGTGACTTTGGAAAAATCAGAAGTAAAAGAAGGAAAATGAAGCAAACCTTTAGAGAAAATGGGCATTAACAGGACTGCAGTGACTCTTGAAATTAGTTTGGAGACTAGATTAGGAGGAGGAAAATAGCCTGAATAAGATTAACTGGAATTGTCCATCCCCAAATCTTTTTAAGCCTTGCCTTATGCCTGCTAATAGTAATAACGGGGTAGAAATGAAATCATGTTTTCTGCCTCAGATTAGATCAGGGGCCGTTCTGAAGATCCTCCAGAGCTGAAGAGCAGCAATAATTCTGCTGATGGCACAACCCCACTGAGGGCTCTGAGGTAACCTGGAGTCACCTGCAAGAATAAATTGATGAAACGCCAGAATCTATGAGATAAAAGTTTTGTAATAATACCTCAGGGCAATCTCTGCAATACACCGAGGCCTGACCATGATCCCTTGAACCAACAACTGGATTAAGATTTCTAAAGATTTTTGATTTTTTTTTTTTTTTAATCCTATATTCAGAGCATCAGCCAGCTGGTTAATGAGTCTGGATAAGAATAAGAAATTCCTGGCTCATTTGATGTCCATGATCTCTGCAACCTCTGTATGGTGTCAGGAGTACAAGTAACCAGAATCAAAATCAAAGGCATTTGCAGAAAGGGAAAAAGAAATAAAAGGGAAAGGGAAAAGGAAAGGGAAAGGGAAAAGGAAAATAATAAAAGAAATACTGACACGTTGCAAGAAAAACCTCATGGGGCAAACATTAAGGAAAAAAGGCCTAAATGACAAATGGCCATAAAGAGATCAGCTGTGACAGCTTGAGGCTGTGAGATGAAGCAAAGACAGAAATATGAGGGTCAGTGAGGTTCAGAACTGTAACATCAGCTGGCTTTCTTTAAGGCCATGCCACTTTTTTTGAGCATAATGATGATTTTTAAAGAGAAAACCCCGTGACCTGCTAAAACTCAGACCCCTAGAAGCCCCCAATTTTTTTCTAAACACTGCTCAAATTGTTGTTAAATCCCTATCTCTGAGTAAGACACCTTACACCGTTGTTGGTGCAGATGAGGAAATAGAGAAGCACACTTTCTCTGTGCAGTGAGCCCCTCACCAGAGGACCTTTCCAGAAACCTCCCAGCTCTCCTCAGTAGGAAGCTGAGTGTGGCTGAGGTCTGTGCTTCATGCCATGATGCAATGTATTCTTTGAGCAGCCACTGTTTCGTTTATTTAAACGAGGAGGGTGAAATACCACGTAATTTCACAAGAGCTGGGCATTTGGAGAGATAAACTCACCTGAAATGGCTCGTTGAGACAGGCCAGGATATCAGTGAAATACCAGGAATTTTCCCAAATTGTCCTGACCTCGTGCAAAGGACAGCCACTACCACAGGCCCCTGGAACTCCGTGAAGAAGAGATGGGAAGACACAACAGGCACTTTGGAGGAGGGATTTTGAGGGGATTCCTCCACAGAAATTCACACAGAGAAATAAGAATGTTCCCAAATTTGCACAAACAAGACCCGTTGAACCATAAACAGCACAAGGGAAGGCCATGCCAACTGGAAGCAAAGCAAAGAATTATACCAGGCACAGAAAGCAACACTCAGGACAGATAATTATCATAAAAGTGTTTTGTTTTTGTTTTTGTTTTTTTTATGAGGCTCTTAATATGCAAGAAATTCCCCAGAAATCATTCAGTGTGTGCTCAGAGTATAAGCACAACGTGGAATTGACAGAAACCTCCTAAGAACCTCCAAAATATCATCAGTTACCAACCTGGAAGAGCATGAGGCTTCAGACTCTACGCAGGTATCAACAGATCAGCAAATCTTAAATGAAAGCAAAATTTATAAATATGTCAAGCATCTGTATCCTGCTGAAATCAAATCCTAAGTACCTCCCTGGATCAAGAGTATTTTTGTATCATGTAACATGCAAGAAATGCCTCAGAAACTGACATTCAGTGTGTGCTCAGAGTATAAGCACAACGTGGAATTGACAGAAACCTCCTAAGAACCTCCAAAATATCATCAGTTACCAACCTGGAAGAGCATGAGGCTTCAGACTCTACGCAGGTATCAACAGATCAGCAAATCTTAAATGAAAGCAAAATTTATAAATATGTCAAGCATCTGTATCCTGCTGAAATCAAATCCTAAGTACCTCCCTGGATGTGGGCCCAAGCCTTCCAGGGCCAAATAGAAAACAATGCTGAAATGTCTAGGCCGTTCTGCTAAATGTGAAAATAAGTGCTTTGGCCAGACTCAAACTGGGAAAAAGGCCATGGCAGAGATGTCTATATTCTAAATGTCTACTCAGCTACCGGTCCTAGGCTGAGCCACACACGGTTTAAACATCAAGAACAAGGGGAATAAAATCAGCTCCTGCAGTCTCTCCTCACAAGAGATGTTCCAAACCCCAAATCATCTTTGTGGCCTCTTCTGGACCCTGTCCAGCAGCTCCTTATCTCTCCTGCACTCAGCAGCCCCGAGCTGGGCACGATGCCCTGTGAAGGCTAACCTAGAACAGAGCCAGAGTTACAGAAAAAAGCAGGGATTTATTTATTAGAAGGCCTCCATGGATCCACCTTGGGCAGCACAAGAGCCCAGCCAGGGCTGCACCCAAAAACGGTCACAAAAAAGATGATCGGTCACAGGGTTTCACACTTTGATAAGTTCTGCTCCATTTGCATATTGGAGTTAATTGTCCAGTTATAGCTTTAGGTTATGCAGTCCCATCCTGCTTCTTTCTCTCTCTTCAGTCCATGTTTGTGCTCTTGGGCCTGAAATTTGGATCATTTGTCCTTGGTCCCCAGCTAGAGAAGAAATTGCTTTGTCTCCTTACTCTGTGAAGAGACCACACTAATATAAAGCTCACAACTACACCCTAAAGCAGCACAGAATCTGAAAACTAGAGAAGCTAAACCTGAGGCACCAGGCACAGCGCTCCGGACCCGTGTCTGTGGCGGAGCAGAGGGACAGAGCCCTGTCTGTGGCGGAGGAGAGGGACAGGAGCCGTGTCTGTGGCGGAGCAGAGCCCTGTCTGTGGCGGAGCAGAGGGACAGGAGCCGTGTCTGTGGCGGAGCAGAGGGACAGAGCCCTGTCTGTGGCGGAGCAGAGGGACAGGAGCCGTGTCTGTGGCGGAGCAGAGGGACAGGAGCCGTGTCTGTGGCGGAGCAGAGGGACAGGAGCCGTGTCTGTGGCGGAGCAGAGGGACAGAGCCCTGTCTGTGGCGGAGCAGAGGGCCGGACCCGCTGTGGCCGCTTCCCTCAGGGCCTTTCCCAGCCCCGCCGCTTTCCCCGCGATTTCCTCCCCGCCGCGGGAGCCCCGCCCGTGCGGGCGCAGCTGCTCGGCGCGGCCGGCGGGCGGCGCTGCGGCGGCGG